GTAGCTTTTCTAGGCTTGGTAACACAACCTGCATACAATTCATTTTGTAAGAAAAGCTTATCATTTTGTTGATGGATAAGAAAAAGGATGGTCAACGGTGTTAAAATTTGTAGAATGGAGAAGTCAAGCCGTGTACTCCTTAATTGTAGTTGGAGCTGTTTGTGGTGGTGTCTTAGCTCCTTATTTCTAGGGAGTACAATTATATGATCAGCACAATTTTGGGGTGGTAGGAAGAACTGAGAGGGAAGTTTGGTCATTACTATTTTCTGTTATCACTTGGACTGTGTGGATAATGGCTATGCAAGAACAAAAGGTTATTTAAAGGGGAGGATTGATCTGCTTATATGGCTCTCTAATTGATTAAAATTAAAGAAGATCATTTCTGTGGAACACAGGCAATGAAGGTGGATTGTTATACGATCTCTTATTCAGATTGATGTCTCAATCTTGCTATTTGTGCTTCGGGACTAACCAAAAGATGTGATTAGCAGATAAACAAAGCAGAAATTGCATCAGAGGCCAATGTGATGGAACCAGGTGAACGTACTTGCACCATTCCTACATATTTTGAGTGTGTATTGGTTTTGGCATGCCTTAAATTTATAGGTGCCACTAGAAGCATGTTTGTGCAGTGAGATATAATTTGAGATTTGGGTGCCAAGTGAGAATGTTGTTTATAAGTAGTTCTGTAAAGGATTAAAAGTATTATAAATGTAAAATTCTGCCTTTGCTAATAAAAAAATTCATAAATTTAAAACTAAAAAAAAATTAAAATGAGACAAAAGAAGAGATTTTTTGAAGTAAGTTGTGCTAGATTTACTTAATTAAAAACAACATTAAAAACTCCAAATTAAAATACCTCATCAGAAAAGGATCATTCTTTTTGTGAAGAATTTCTTCTTAATCCCAAGAAACAATGTAATGACAATCCTAAAACAAAAACATGAGAAATGACACACATAGACATTTAGAATGAAGGATGACAGTAGACTTTGCTCGGGATAGTTAAACACTGTCCAATTAACTAATTTTCTTAAATTGAGTAATTTTACTTTTACTTCTACTTTTAAGTGATGAATTTAGGCACAATAAGTAAAGAAATTTACTTGTTCTGCATCATAGTTAATAATTAATAATTTTGTATTTAATTAATGTATTAGTAATAATAGGTAATGTAATATTTATTCAGATTGGTTATTACTCCTAATTAATAGAATACATTTCAAACAATCCTATTGTGTATATATAATTTATTTTATACAATTAAGAAAACTAAATATATACGGTTTCAATTGGTTACGAAAATTAATTATGATATCAATTATGAAGAATAAGCAAACTATATTTACACCTGAATTAAGTCTAACATAAGTGAAAATTTTCTAAACACAATTTAGATAATGGAGATGTTTAATTTCTTCAAATATTAAGGGAAAAATTATATAAGTTATGAAGTGTTTGATTCTTTTTATAATAATAGTTTTTGAGAGCCTTCTATTATTGGTTGTTACTGTAAATTTGCTGCAATTATGGTTCTTTTAGGCGCAATTGTCTAAGGTAATTGATATATCTATAAAGGTAATTAGATGGAGATAATAGAAGCATCGATATTGAAGAAACAATTACTCTGTAAAAGTAAAATAAAATAATTTTTGCGAAATAACTGACCTTGTCACTGAAAAAAGGTTGAGTATGGATGACAGACCTTTCTTCACTTTCTGTGTCATTAGTTGTTATCTCTTTCTTTTGGTCACTTGAAAATGAAGAAGCAAAAGCAACCAAAGCTGGGCAGTTAATAACAGTAATTTCGTACAACCGTGGAAACTCAAGCCGACTACTTCCCTCATAGAAACATTTCAAGTTGGGACAAGACTCTAAAATAATAGTGAATAGTTTAGGAAACGGGTCCTCAGCTCCTTCTCCTGTGATCACTTGCTCCATCTTATTACAGTTTGTGACTTTCAGACTATAGAGTTGCACAAGGCCCAGCGCTATGGAAGATGGGAATAGATATTTCAAATTACCACAGCCCTCGATGATCAACTTCGTCAGTTTCGCAACATGAGAAGATGTTATTGAAGCGTGCCATATGGTGTTAACATTAATCCAAG